AACCATCGTTTCAAATTGTTCCTTGTTGGGAAATTCAAGTGTAAATCTAAGTCTAAGTCTCATATGGTATAAAAATGAGGAAGTTTGAGCAACATATAAGGAAAAAGATTCATAACTCAATGCTTTAAGATTTTGGGTTGAAGGTGATATCAGTCCCTAATGTGGGTTGGACTCATGTCTCATTAGTGTTATTTCTCCCAATGAATCTCGTCTCGAAAGACCCAACATTGGTATCAGAGTCGATGATTAGTATGGTGACCGATAGTTTAAAAGTGGTCCTTGTATCGAAAGTCTTCACGGCAATGGGTCAGGTAAGCATGTCTTGTTATGATGAACGACGATACATGAAAGAGTCACTAGTGAGTTCGAGAGGATGTACCAATGTAAAGGGAGTTAGTGTGGTGACCGACAGTTTAAGAGTGGTCTTTGTATCAAAAGTTTTCGTAACAGTGGTTCAAGTAAACATGTTTCGTTATGATAAATGACGGTACATGAAAGGGTTACTAATGAGTTCGAGGGGATGTACTAATGTGAAGGGACTCACACTTGATGGAGAGATTATTGAGAAATCCAAATGTGAGTCTAAGTCTCATAATATAAGGTAGAAATACGCATAATTTAATGTCTTAAAATTTGTTGTTGAAGATGATGTTTATCCCTTGAGTTTATATTTGATTAGTGTTGTCTCTCCTTATTCCTCTTCAAATACCCAACAATAACCACGTTAGCAGTTGCATGCACAACTTTCATTCCACCCTTCCTCCATCACATCTCATCTTCTTCTCGGAGAAACCACTCTATTTTGGTAACATTCACCATGACTCAACCGTTATCTCATTCCCACCCCAATTTCATTCCTTTTATTCCAATAGCCTCAAAATAGAAACCCCACTTTTCCCTTTTTCTGAACCTTATTTTGTTTCCTTATCATTCGTGTACTTTGAGCAACCAAATACCATTTTTTTTCTATTATAGTGATTAGACTTTTGTTTTATATAAAAACAATACTAACCTAGATTGGCCACGACTTTCTTGACTCATTGAATGATGGACTAGTCTATTATATTCATTCATATGTATTGATATTTATTTATTTTATTTTTCTATTTTTACTTTTTCTTCATTTTTCTTAAAAAAATCATAAATAATATGTTAAAACAATGACTTTCATTTTAAATTTCAATTATAAAAAAATATTTTGAGTTTTTTTTTCCTTTCTTGAAATTAGAATCAATAAAAAAATATCAAAAAGTTATTTATGCTAGATGTAGTTATATTTTTAATTTAGTTATCAAGTTAAAAAATTTTAATAATTACTTTAAATTTATATTTGATTTGATTTGATTATTAAATACTTATTTAAAATATTTAAATTTTTAATATTCACAAATAATAAACAACTTCCAATTTTAAAGGTATTAATTTTTGTAACAAAAATATAGATGCATTTATAATTTAATTATTACTTAAATTATAATTATAAAAATATAAAACTATTACCATGTATTTCTAATTTGATTATCTAAAAAATTATTCAACTACTTTAGATGCATTTTTAATTTAGTTAAAAATTAATTAAAATTATTTTAGATGTACTTCTAATTTAATTGTCCAAAAGTTATTTTAGGTATTACTGTTAACAATAAGAAAAGTTAAAATTCACAAATATTTTTTATCAAAAGTTATTTTAGGTATACTATTAACAATAAGAAAATTTAAAATTCACAAATATTTTTTACCAAAAAAAAACTATTCTTCATTGTATATGGGAATACATACGAACAAAAAGATAATATTTTTCTAGTAAAAAATATTAAAAATATATTATTTTTTATTTTAGTAATCATATTTAGTTTATATGTTAGATATATAATAAGATATTATTTTATTTTGAGGGATAAAATAAATAATTTTTAAAATATTTAACTTTTTTATATTTGATGAAAAGTAATCGTTTTAGAATAGATGTTCTATGGTGTTAATACCTTTCTTATATATAACCGACTATTAGATCTAATTTTTGTTTGGTAGACCACTATTTTTTAAGTTTTTTTAATATTTTTTTATAAATAAATATTGGTGGCGACTCTATTATTTTTTTTATTTATATTTTTATTATCTTGTCACCATTTTGGTTGCGACAAGTACTTGTGTAGCTAAATTTTTTTATGAAAATGTCATAACATTTAATGTGATAAGAGCAAAGGATTTAAGAAAATGTTTGTTTCAATTCAAATTATGGTCAAGGATTTAACCCACCTTCATGAGTTAAGTACTTGAAGGAAGATATTAAGCAACAAGACATGCTTTAGAAGTTCACAAGACTGCATGGAAGAAAACATGTTGCATTATAATGATTGATGGATAAACTAACAAGAGGAGAAAAACTATCTTGAACTTTTGAGTAAAGAGTCCAAACGAAATTGTTTTTCTGAAATCTATTTAAGCATTTACCATCTCAAAAAGAGTTGACAAATTTTATAAGATGTTGGATGGCAATGTTAAAGAAGTTGGCAAGGAAAGCACGTTGTCCAAATTGTAACGGACAATGCAGTCAATTATAAAGTTGTCGGTGAGTTGTTAATGAAGAAAATGTGGACTCCATGTGCAGCACATTGCATTGACTTGATGCTCAAATATTTTGAAAAAAATATCTTTATTCATCCATATACAATTCCAAAAGGTAGAAAATTAATACTTATATTTACTTTAAGACATCTCTAATTTCTTTGTTACATCATTTTACAAAGGAAAAATAAGATTAACTCATTTTGCCACCTCTTACTTAACATTAGGTGTTTTGTTGAGCATAATACCCCTTTGATTGGAATGTTTACTACTGATGAAAGGAAAAATACTAGTTTTGCTAATACAAGGGATGAAAGTTCAATCGAGGATGTGATTTTGGATAAAGAATTTTGGAAGAGTATATCCATATGTTTACAAGGTGAATTTCCTATAATGCAAGTGCTTTAAATGGTAAATCTTGATGAGAAACCAATCATGAGTTTCATTTATGAGGTAATGGAAGGGGATAAAGAAAAGATAAAAAAGAGTTTAATGGTGATAAGAAAAGATGTTATATTAATCTCCAAAATGAATTGCAACTTCATATTTTACTTTTTAAAATATTGAAATAACACTAAATTTTTAGTCATGAAGATTTATAGAATATTATTGATGAAAGGTGGGACAACCAGCTCCATTGGTCTTTACATGCTACAAATTATTTTCTAAATCCTTAATTGCATTAGTCTCCTAGTTTTAAAGTTGATATATAAGTTAAAATTGACCTATTACAATGCATTCAAAATATGGTAGCTGACCTTAAGGAGCAACATTTGATTGATTTGCAACTTGAAGATTTCAAGAACCAAAAAAGTTCTTTGAAAATTCCTTAGTTGTTAAGGCAATTAGGAAAAGGACTTTAGCATCTTGCCATTGGTAGGAATCTTATGGAAATCAACATCTAGAATTCCAAAAGTTTATTATTTGCATACTTAGTTTAACACGTAGTTCATTTGGATGTGAACGTAACTAGAGTGCATTTGAGATGGTAAAATTTTAAAAATTGTAAAATTATAATTAAAATAATAAGTTAGTAATTACTTATATGTATGTTTGTATTTATATTTATTAAATTCACACAAAGAGAAGAAATGGTTTGAAATAAGAAACTGTGAGTAATATTATCTATGTGATGGTTAATTAAAAAAATTGGTTAAGAAGAAGGAAGGTAGAAATAACATGAAACATTTGAACTTAATGATATTCCATCCAATTATGAAAAATGTTGAAGAAGACCATTTATCAAAATGCAGGCTTTAAATGATACTCGAAATTTAAATGGAGATGATAAACCATTTTTATGAATGTGAAGTCTTAAGTGAATAATAAAAAAATTTAAATGATTATTATTTAAGCTTTACTCATTAAGATTTAGACTTATAATTTAAGACTTGATTTATGACATAATTTTTTTAAATTTTATTTTACTATATTTTATTAAGTATTTTAAAATGGGACTTAATATTTATTTTATGATTATATTACATTATAATACTATTTATGATTTGTGTTACAATTTCACAGTCTACGATTTTATGAATTCCTATAATCCTACTCATAATATTGATTATGATAATCTTAATTATGATAATAAAATTATTTGTAATATTATTCATAATTTAATATAAAATTATTAGATTAAACATATTAAAGTGGATAAATTATTTATTATAAGACAAAAATTATAAAATTATATATGATTTATTTCGAAAATCAATTGATATATTAATAAATATCTTCTCAAATAAAATATTTTTAAAATATCTAGTAATAAAGATATAAGATTCATACAACCAATAAAAAAATGTTGATTTTTATTTTTATTTTATTATATTGGTAGATATTATATATATATATATATATATATATATATATATAATATTTTGTTAGAATTATTAGGTATGCATTATTATAATTTTATATCTTATAAATAAATAAATTGAATGTATGTATATTTTGTATTAAAAAAAGAAAATATATTTCAGTTTGTCTTGTAAAGAAGTTGTTACAAAGACCCTTATTAAATAAAAATGATACTTTGACAACCCAAATCCATATAATTCTAGTAAACAATTCTGTTTTAATATTATAATAATAATATTATAATAATAATTTTATTTTATTTTTATTTTTATTAAATCAGTTTATAGATTATTTTATTAATTCTATTTTAATATTATAATAATAATATTATAATAATAATTTTATTTTATTTTTATTTTTATTAAATCAGTCTATATATTATTATATTAATAAAAGTAAATTATTTATAGAGTTTCATGTCTTCTCGTTGTAAAAATATCACTACTCTTTTTGCCAAAACCCATTGGATTGCAACTTCCGTGCAACTTCCGTGCTGTAAAAACAGCGTAGCTGCGTCAGGGTTGCAGAAAGCATACATTGGTGGAACAGTGAAATCTGAGGGAGAGTAAATGGTGCCCCCTCTTCTCATTACAAAATTATTTGTGCCCTTCACAAACTATCTGCTGCAACATAAACACAATGCTTTTCTTTTTATGTTCAACACATTCACCTCTGGCAGGAACAGCCACAACGGTGACACCTTTGCCGTGTCTTACCTCATCAACTTATGTGGGTTGTCCCTGGAATTGGCCAGGCAACTCTCCAAAAGGGTGAATTTGAAAACCCCAGATGGTCCAAATGCTGTTATTGACACTCTCAAGAACTACGGATTCTCCAAAACTCAGGTTGCAAAACTTGTGGAGAAGAATCCCAAGGTGCTTACTTTACAGGTGAAGAAGACCCTCTTGCCTAAACTCAAGTTCTTGCACTCTATTGGAGTTTCCAACACTCTCATGCCTAAGATCACGCTTGCAAACCCCTTTATCTTGAGGAGGAGCCTGGGAAAATGCCTAGTGCCTCGATACGAGATTATCAGGCGTATTGTTAGTGATGATTGGAAAGTTGTTAAAGTTTTGAACAAGGCCCCATATTGTTTAACATACTGTGACCTAAGGAATAACTTGGTTCCAAACATTAAGTTTTTGAGGCAGTCTGGTGTGCCTCAGGGTTCAATCCCTCTGATGATGAGCAACTTCCCCTCTGCAGCAATGGGGAAGCATTCCAAATTTTTGGAAGTAGTCAAGAGAGTTGAGAAATTTGGGTTTGATCCTAAGAAAACAGCTTTTGTCACAGCTATCCAAGTGCTTATAATGATGCGTAAAGAGGTATGGGAATCGAGATTTGAGAGTTATGCGATGTGGGGCTGGAACAGGGAAATGGTTCGTCAAGCGTTTCTGAAGTTTCCCAGTTTTATGAATATGACTGAGGAGACAGCTACGAAGAAAATGACTTTCCTAGTGAAGGATATGGGTTTGTCCTCAGTAGATATTGCTGTCTATCCTCATCTTATATCCTACAGCTTAGAGAAGAGGATTATCCCTAGATTGTCAGTAATTAAAATCTTGAAATCAAAAGGTTTGATTAAGAGTAATTTCAGTTTTGGTTCCTATATGGGCATTACGGAGGAAATATTTTTGAAGAAATTTGTCATTAGATTCCAGGAAGATTTGCCTCTCTTACTAGATGTCTACAAAGGTATGATTCAGCATGAGGATGTTATGTAGTATTTGAAGGATTATGCAGGCTATTGTCCTAACTTTTAACCCCTCTATTGTCCTAACGTTTTTCCAACAAGGTTTACACCTCTAGTCTCATGCAGCACATCAAAGGAAGTATATCTGTGTGTATGTATAGATGAAAGAGAAACAATACAAAAGGATAAGAGAGGACTAGGCCAAAGCTCCTAAAATAAGTATGCTAAAGTGAACTTGAGTTGTCTGCTTTTGCTTTTTGTATCGATATTGTGAGTTTTGTTTTACTTAAATAGATAGAGTTTTGGTCAGATTTATAGCATATTAATTTTATAATCAAAATATATGAATCTACTTACCAGTGATATTCAATTTAATTATCAATATTGTGTATTTATTTTTCAGATTCAGTCAAATAAAATTGTACTTAGTTGTGCTAATATTACAATTGTTTAATAAATTATTTTGTTCAGTTGTCTTCCAAGCTCAAACTTACTATTCCCTTCACTTGAAATTTGTCACTATATCTTTTTAGTGAGTACTGCATACTGTTATATGAAGTCATGAATACATATAGTTTTGAACTTGTCAACTTTGGTTATCTTTGTTATTAATGCTTATTAGTTATTACCAATTACAAGTAATGTTAGTAGTCAAAGTACTGTTTCTTTAATCAAGATATCTAAGAACAATGTGCTCAGTAGCTTGACTATTGTTGGGACAGATCGGGTGTCTTGTTTTCTGTCTTTGAATCAAATACTTGCCTTAAAGCCAAAAGTTATAGCAGATGTTAAGGGTATGACATTGTTTCCTTAAGTTTTTTCCGAGCTGCATCTAGTTTTGAGGGCTGCACCATTTACAAGCATTATGGCCTGGGATGTTTAACCTATTGAAACCTAAAGTTCAAGCGAACCTATTAAAGCCAAAATCACTTTATGTTTATGAAATGATTTAAACTTGATTGTAGTAATGTGGTTCCTATATTGTCAACTTTGATCCCATGCTAATGTTAAAGTTTTCCATGCCCTTTATACATAATTTCTACTTATAATTTTTGCACATATAAGGACCATTTTGTGATTGTTATTTAGCCTTGGTTTTTCCAATAATGAAATGGAAAAAGATTATGAGGGATTCGCTGATCAGATTTTTCTGGAGGAATTTCCAAGTGCACTCACATTTTATAAGTCATATTCTTTGATGCTTTTTATATAATTCTTTCAGTTTATTTGGTAGCTCTGAGCTTAATTTTGTCCCTTGTATAGATATATTTTTATAGGAAGTAGTTTACTCCGATAGAGTTAAACTACGGAGACTTAAATTTATTCATGGAAACTTACTTTTAAGGTGTTCAAATTCAAGTGACAAGTTTATATTTCTTTGAGTTTCATCTCATTTACTTTTTATGTCAACATGTTGAGTTTATTTTCTTGGGAGGGGAGGGACTTTTGTTAATATTTACAGCATGTTGGTTTTATAATCATGTAATAAAATCACTTGGGGATTTTCATTTTCAGCATCTCACCATCTTGGTTTATTAAATACAACAGAGCACACCAGAAGTGTCCCTATGTTTTGCAGGCCATGGATAAGTGTGATGAATTGTATCTCAATTGTTTGCCTTTTCGTTTTATGTATGTTTATCTGTTATAGGAAACTTTAGTTCCACCCGTGATTTTTACAACATTAGCTAACTGAAAAATGGGCAATCCTTAAATGGGAAAATGATCATGCCAAACTTGCTATTTGGTTCTCTCTGCTTGTCATAGTTGCTGGAATAATTACATTTCAGAACAGAAAAAATTGACTAATGTGGCAATTTTTCATGGGAGAAAAAGAATAATGGCAAACTTGTTCTTGGGTTCTTTGCTTGCCAGTCTGCTGGAGTTCCTTGCCGAAGTTAAACCAAACAAAAAATGCCCTTTCAACATTTTCTGAAACAAAATACATTCTTAATCATTGCCTCAGTGTATCCTTTTTGTGATTCTAATTTAATAACTTTTTTATATTCTACAATTATGACCTTACTATAAAAGATATTTTACTTGAAATATAGTTTCCACTCTTGAAGTCATAAACATTTAATTTTTCCTCCGTGCCAAAAAACCTTTATTCTTTTTGTCCTAGACTAATTTTATAAATTTATATTTTTTTTATATAGGCATTCATATATAATTCTATTCCGTATGTAAGTTTCTAAAAAATTATAATTCTGAAATATAATTCAAATTATGTTGTAATTGATATATTATGTAAGCAGCATTTCCAAGAACAATTCATCTTCAGTTTTAAAACATGCATGGAGTGGATACAATGTTACATTGAACTCCTTGTAAAGAAAAGAATGACTTTGCTCCACGCAATGGTTCCTTAATTTATTGCCATTGTTTACTAAAGCTATTGTTTCTTTCATAAGCTTTTCATTAAGTCACAAATCTCCCGCGACTTTCATAAGCTATTGTTTCTTTCAATAATATAGTTTCTTTTATCAGTTTTTTCATTAGCCACAAACTTCTCACCAGTTATTGCAAACATGTCTTACCCTTCATTACCTTATAAATTAACAATTTCTTCAAACCCTCTGTTATTGAATCTTTTCGCGAAATTTTATTCTCCCACCACTCTGTCACTTAATCTCATTGCCAAAAGAGAAAATGTCTATTCGAACAAATCCCATGAAAGCAGTGTCAACATTGTTGAAGCGTTTGGTAACTGTAGAGCAGAAAGCAAATTTGAAGGATTTGAAGTCAGAGTTGATTGAGATAATGGACCTGTTTTTCATGGTGAAGGAGAATGAAGAACTCCTTGACATATTAACAGAGGTGGATGGCTATATTCGCAAAAAAAACATAGGAAAGTTGATGGAAGAGAAGGAAGAGATTTGCAAGAGAATAAGAAAATCAAAACAAAAGTTGCTGCGAGCTGCTACTGAAAGTAGTAATACAGAAGCTACCAAGGAGCTCCTCAATCGAGAAAAAGAGAATGCAGCACTCTCTTTGAGCCATTTTCAGGACTTGGAAATGTTTAAGGTCAAGTATAGCAAACTTAATTTTGAGCAGAAACATTTCTTGTTCTCTCTATTACTTTTACCTGAAAATGCTGTTTTATAGAAAAGGAAGCTAATTCTCTGGTGGATTGCAGTGGATTGTGTCATCAAAAGGCCTTGGCAAAATAGAGCTGAGGAAATTGAGTCTGTGTTTGGTTATTTATTGAATCATAAACTGATTGTACCATATGGTAATGACAAGTATCCAGTTAGGAGTAGAATTAATCCTTGCATCCGTCATGAGTCAGTTAGGCAATTGTTACAAAATGATGCAAAGTCTTTTAGAAATTTTCCACAAGTACTAACCTTATCTCATATCAGGGATTATACTTGGTATCAAAATTTAGCATTTGACCAAAAAAGAGTGCATGTTTTTAACATTGGAGAGCTGCTTTTAACAATGGTGCAAGTTATCTTTATTTTGAACCCCAGTGCATGGCCGAAATGAAGCGTTTGGAGGTTCTTCAACTTGGTCGTTGGCTGCACAATTCACCTGCACATCATATTGAAGTGGTGAATGAAGAATTCCTAAAGGAGTTATGGAATCAAAAGCATTTGAAGTACCTTCGAGTGATATCAAGAATATCTATGTTTCCACCCTCCATTTTTGAGTTTCACATCCTAGAAACTCCAGATCTCAAGGACTGTCACAATCTAGAAACACTACCTGATGACATTGCGTCATTGAGAAAGCTCAGACATTTGGATTTGTCTCACTGCTACTTGTTGAAGAAAATGCCAAAGGGGTTTGAGAAGTTGTCCGAGCTTCGGGTACTCAAGGGATTTGTAATAGGCAGTTCTAAGAGGAGTCCTTGTAGAATATCAGATCTTGCAAATTTGGAGAAGCTAGAGTGGCTAAGCATATATATTGAAATTGGGGCTCTAATCCTAGCTGGAGAGCTTGAAAGCTTGAGAGAGTTCAAAGTTGTCAAAACTTAAGCATCTCAAAATATCATGGGGTGTGTCTGACAAAATATACAGTGATATCAAGATCATTTTGCCTTCAAGTTTGAAAAAGTTGCATCTCGAAGGCTTTCCGGGATACCAAATTCCAGAATGGTTGAAGCCTAGCGAGCTATTCCAAGGTTGAAGGAACTAAACATAACAGGAGGAAAACTCGATAGTATGAATCATGGAGTAACTAACAACCACTGGTGTGTGGAGATCGTGCGTCTGAAGTACCTAAACAATTTGAATGTTGACTTAACAAATTTGAAAGAGTTGTTTCCATTGCTGAGGTATGCAGGTATGAAACAAATCCTAAACCATTTATACTTCGAATGGAGCACTGATTGAAGAGAAAGCTAAACGCAAGTCTATGTCATAAAATGCTCCGTATGTATTTGTCATCTAAAGAGAAATGCTATTTACATGATTGTATTTATAAATGTCTTTGTATATCTAAATTTGAAGTGTCTAAGAGAAAGTAAAGGCAAACTTAAAAAAAAGACATGGTTGTTCATGTCTGGAACTAGACTTATGTGTTACTACATATATTCTATCTCCCAATTAATTCTTATGAATAGTATCATCTTCCACCAACCACACATTTCCTCAACTTTTATCATTGATAGTCAGTAAATCGTGTCATCAAGTCACAAAATCTCATACTCTGTCCTTCAATATTTTGTGAACAAGAAAAATGTCAATTCCTACAACTAGTGAAAAGGCTACAGCAACTTAGCATGCATATAGGAAATGGGGTTGTCATCCCAGATGGAGAGAGTTTGAAAGCTTGAAAGAATTATCTTAAGATGAGCATCTCAAGATATCATGGAGCGTGTCTGCTACAAGGTATTGTGAGATTTAGATCATTTTGCCTTCAAGTTTGAAAAAGATGCATCTTGAATGCTTTCCTCGATAGCAAATTCCAGAATGGTTGAAGCCTAACAAGCTACTTCAAATTTGAAGGTGGTAAACATAACGGGAGAAAAATCAAATGAATCATGGAGATACTGATAATCATTGGCGTGTGGAGATCCTGCGTCTGAATTAGCTAAAGCATTTGAAAGTTGATTTATCAAATTTCCAACATTTGCTTACATTGTTGCTTGAGGTATGCAGAAATTAAGCAAATCCTAAAACATTCATACTTCTAATGGAGCATTGAATAGTGTTGAAGGTAAGTCTATGTCATAAAATGTATTATACATGTCTCAATGCACAAATTCATAACATTTATTACATAATGAAAATATTCTTCATGTAAAATTAATTTATTTGATTACTTGGTTATAATTAATATTAGATATAATTTATTATTTAAAATACAATGATAAAAAGTCCATTAAGAAAATCACTTTATTATTTACAAATCATTTTGTTCTTATTCAAATCTTTTTCTATTATTATCATTATTATTTTTCTTATACCGATTTAAATATCAAAGTGTCTTTGTAGATTAACCTCTTTCTTTTTTTAACATTCAGCATAAATCGGTTCAATAAATTTTAAAGTGGTGGTCATCCAGGTTGACTTGTCTTAGATTATTGATAAAAAAATTTCCTACTCACATAACTTGGGGGCTTTGATTTTTTAAAATCATCCTAACAATTTTCTAAATGTAAAAGAATTATAGTTTTGTCAAAAATGAATATATTTTAATTTATATTTTTAAATTAATTTTAGATCGATGATGATCTTTTATATCTTAAATCATTTGAAACTTCTAACTAGAGGAAATAAAATTTATTTCATATAAAAAGAAAATAATTTTACCTCTTATTCAATCTCATAAAAAATTTTATAATTTTTTAAAAGTATGTTATGATGGAAGAAATAAAATACAAATATTAAAATTAAAAAAGGTCATTATCAAACAAAGTGAAAAGGCACGTATTATAATTATGAACAATCCTGATAAGATTGATAATATTTTATATATATGGATTATTGATACTTGTAACAATAAAATAATATAATATTTGATCCTAAAAAGTTCATTCAAATTAAATTATTTACATAAAAATATATTTTTAACAAAATCCAAATTATTGAAAAAGAATATTTGAATTTTATTTGATTTTGTTTTTGTCATTTTTTCCTTAAACTTTAATATTTTATCTATTTGCCAACTAAAATCGTTTTATCTTATATGGCAATTTTTTTGGCAAAACTATTGTCTTTTTTAAAGATATCCATACAAAAAAATTAATTAGATATTATGAGAGAATTTATATTATACAAAATAATTGATAAGTCACATCAAGTTTAAATGTGAATAACAAGGAGGAGAATAAACAATATGAAAGTTGGTTTTAATATCATAACTCATTTGAGTATTTAAGAAAATATATATTTCTTAGTTTATTTATATAATATATGCATATATAATTGTACATTGGCACATATATTGGTTCAAATAAGAAAGTCCAGTTTTCTTAATCATAATAATAATATTTTAAAATTGTCTGAATTGGTATAAATAGGAGTTCACAATTGTGACCTTGAACATTTTTTATTTTCTTACAGATTTAACATTAGTTGTAAACCCTCTTAGTACATATTTATTGCCTTGGAAAAAAAATTCTGCATTGACAACTTTTCAAAATTCCATGTAATATCCCTTAATGTCACAAGTCATTAAATTCCTAAGACCAACTCACAACACCCTAAAGGAATTAACATAACATCGAAATTGAATTTAGTACTTTGAATTATCTAAGAGAATCCTGAAATCTTAGAAGAAATTGTCACTATAAAAAAAATACTTATTATCTACGGGTAAAATCCGTAGGTAATTACCTACCTAGGTAATGCACTCACCTAAACAAAATATTTTTATTTATTACAACCCCCTCCCTTATTTTTTATTATTACCTAGGACCCCCTCCCCTTTATATTATATTTTTATTATTTATTATATTTTCGGAACTTTGAATTATTATTAGATCAAGGGATTTGTCATTGGCAGGATTCGAAAAAAATGCTTATTATCTACGGGTAAAATCTGTAGGTCCTACCGTAGGTAATGCACTCACCTAAACAAAATATTTTTATTTATTACAACCCTCCCTTATTTTTTATTTTTACCTAGGACCCCCTCCCCTTTATATTATATTTTTATTATTTATTATATTTTCGAACTTTGAATTATGATTAGATTAAGGGATTTGTCATTGGCGGGATTCGAACCCAAGTACTGTCGAGTTGGAGGCTGATACTCCAACCACTAAGCTATTAGGATATTTTGATAATAATTTACAAATAAATTATATTTATATTTATCCGTGTAAATATATAAATATAAAATATATATAAATATAAAATATATAAATATAAAATATATTTATATTTTGATATATTTATATATTTGTATTTATATATTTATATTTATATATTTATATATTTATATATTTATATATTTATATATTTATATATTTATATATTTATATATTTATATATTTATATATTTATATATTTATGTATTTATGTATTTATGTATTTATGTATTTATGTATTTATGTATTTACTGTATTTATATATTTATATTTATGTATTTATGTATTTATGTATTTATATATTTATGTATTTATGTATTTATATATTTATGTATTTATGTATTTATGTATTTATGTATTTATGTATTTATATATTTACACGAATAAATATAAGTATAATTTAGTTGTAAATTATTAGTAGAATATCCTAATAGTTTAGTGGTTGGAGTATTAGTTTTCAACTTTAAGGTACTGGGTTCGATTCTTGCTAGTGACAATTCTTTTAGTTTAATATAATTTACCTACTGGATAGTAATTCGTAGGTAATTACCCACGAATGACATTACCTACGGATAATATCCAGTGGATAATTACCTACGAATAGAATTCAGTAGGTAATAGACTTTTTTTGTAGTGTGTAACTTAGTGTCATCCGCAACTATAACATTCAAAGGTTGTATCGGGAAACTTTACACCCAAGCTTTTTAGCTATTTCAATGTCCAAGAATTTATGAATGCTTCCATTATCAATGAACACATGCAAAAGTTCTTGCCAACATAACTATGTTGACAAAATTTGGGTCATGTATATATATGATACATATTTAAATGTGTTAGGGTCATTATTTATTAAGCCAAATAATAAAGTGATCTGAATAAATTAAAGTTTTGGCTAAAGGCATATGTCATGAAAATATGATTGTGTAGAGACCATAGAGTAATTTTTTAATTTGATGAGGGGCCAAATTGAAAATACTAAAACTTAAGTAATTAACCTAATTTTGGTTATATAAAGGGTCATGGTCCCCTTCGAGAGCACACGAGACAAAAACAAAGTTACAGTCCCGTTCCTTTCTCTCTATCCCCATCAAGAGAGAAAATCAAGAGGGAAATACAGGTGCTCTTCAGGTGGAAGACCATAAGATCAAATCAAAGGTGCTCTACAAAGAATATCATCATTATGGATAATTCAAGTACGCTTTCGCATTTAGTTCATAACATGTTTACAGTATGGGATTATATATGTATGTTTGATCATAAGGAAGAAGATCATATTCAATTACAGTTTAACCTTACAATTGGTATCAGAGCGACCCATACTTGATTCATGTTTGCATTTGGAAATTAGATTTAACAAAATTGAGATTTAAGAATTTAAGTGGAGAATAATCTCCAAATTTGCGAACCCTAGATTTAAATTTGGGGTAAAATCCCCAAATTTTAAACCTATTTTTGAATTTGGGGTAAATTCACAAATTCCCAACTCGAGCGAGAGGAGCAAAAACATTTCAGTGCAGTCTCTACAATCGGACCGCGAGAAGAAGCTGATGCATCCTCTCAACGACGCCTCTTCCTCCTCCCGCTTCGTCGTCACCATGACCTTCACGTCGGAGAGGTTGAACTTCGTTACCTCGCGCTTCTCGCCGTCGTTGTCCTCTTCTGTGGACTGTCGGAGCGAGGAGACGCGCTTCACGATCGCAGCGGAAAGGTCGTTGCTCCGCTGGTGGGAAAAAAGCTTCCGACGGAGAAGCCCGGTAGAGCGACGTCGTTTTGGTTTGATTGGAAATCGTGCGGCGCGATGTAACAAGCAAGAATGAGGGTGCAGAAAAGGTGGGTAGGGTTGTTGGGCATGGTGGCCATGTGGCAAGCAAGGAGAGGAGCATGGATGTGCGCAGAGGAAAGCGTGAGAGAAAGAAGAGCGTTATATTGCGTGACTTCATGGAATGAGAATTATGCATGGTATGGAATATTCTCTCTCTGAATACTTCTCTCTGACATTTTAATTCTCCCTTTTTCTGGACCTATCTCATTCCCTACCTCTTCCATTTCAGGAATGGCTAATTGCTGCATGATTTGTTAAACCCCTCAATTTACTGTAGCTATTGCAGTGGCAATTTAGTTTGTGATTCTGAAATTCTCGTTGTAATATTCAGAAAACAATATTACGTAATTAGAAAAGCTTCTGTTCTTCATCATTAATTTTGCACTGTTACATTGGTGCTTTCATTGACTTCCATGGCAGAGAACACGCGTTTGAAGGATTTGCAAGCAGAAGTACGCACAACAGTGGACAATCTCAACAGGTTAGCGGCGACAGTGGAAAAACTTCAAACCACCATGGAAACCAAAAACAAAGCTCACGAAACTACGATGGATGAGATTAAATGCACTCTGCAACAATTGTTGATCAATTCCACTCAGACTCATGGAAGCTCTTCGAACTCACACACAAAATTAGGTGTAGGAGCATCTTCGCTCTCGATGAATTATCCGATAAAAGATATTTCCCTGGGTTTTCCTCATTATGATGGAGCGACCCCTGTTATGGAATGGATTTTCAAGGCAGACAAATTTTTTGCTTATCACCACACTCCAGATGTTGATCGAGTTGAAATTGCATCAATGCATTTTGAAAAAGATGTGGTTCCTTGGTTCCAAATGTTACACAAGATGGAAGCAGTTAGTTCATGGTCAGCTTTAACCCGTGCGTTAGAATCTCATTTTGGACCATCACCGTTTGACTGTCCAATGGCGGAGCTCTTTAAGCCGCAACAACTGCGGTACCGTTTCGATTATTATATGAAATTTGTATCCCTCGCTAACAGATCTCGAAGGTTTAAACGAGGAGGCTATTTTAAATTGCTTTATTAGTGGCTTACATAGTGATATCAAACGTGATGTGGTGGCACTGTCTCCTCCAAACTTGTTACGAGCTGTGGCTTTAGCTAAACTCTATGAAGAGAAATATTTTCCAGCCATAAAGACCAATGTAAATTACTCCACTAGATATAATCCTACTTCCTCCCTCGGTACCTCAACCAATATACAAGCTAGAAACATGATTAAGCCAACCTTAAACCTACCTAAATCCGCCCTTCCACCTTTATTACCCACTCCACCAGTCTCTCAGATTAGAAATCCAAATATCAAAAGAATTAGCCCAGCGGAAATGCAGTTTAGAAGAGAAAAAGGCCTATGCTATTTTTGTGATGAGAAATTTTCTTTCAACCATAAATGTCCCAATAGACAGTGCTTTGTGTTGCAATTGGGAGAGGAGGAAACAGAGCAAATTGTCACTGAACCTGAGAACATTACTGATAATGAAACTTCAACGAGTGATGATCATCATCTCTCTTTGAATGCTTTGAAAGGGGGACTCGGTGTTGGAACTATCCGGTTTTTAGCTTATGTCGGAAATATGCCGGTGAAAGTGCTAATTGATGGGGGCAGTTCTGACAATTTCCTTCAACCGAGAGTGGCTAAATTCCTTAAACTTCCCATTGAAAAGGCTCCAATGTTTAAAGTGATGGTGGGCAATGGCAATTATATGGAATCTGAAGGTGTAATTCATCAATTGCCTCTTCAAGCTCAGGGCAATGTCTTTACTTTACCGGTGTTTCTACTGCCTATTTCTGGTGCTGATTTGATTTTGGGAGCAAGCTGGCTCAAAACCATCGGACCTCATTTAGCTGATTATGCAGCCCTCAATATTAAATTTATACATGAAGGGAAGTACGTTACCCTACAAGGAGAGAACGAAACTGTACCAGTTACAGCTCAATTCCATCACATCAAAAGGATGGTCCATACAGATGCAATAGCTGAAGTTTATAGCATGCAAATGATCAAGGAGGAAATTGATTCTTTTCCACTGCAGGAAATTCCTGATGACATGGAGCCTGAATTGGCTCGGTTGATACACAACTATAGTATTGTGTTTAGTACCCCAAGTGGCTTACCTCCTTCTCGATCTCATGTCCATTCCATCCCTCTGATAAATGGTTCCAATCCAGTCAAAGTGAGGCCTTATAGGTACCCTCACAGTCAGAAAGAAGAAATTGAGAAGTTAATAGCTGGCATGTTAAAGGAAGGGATAATACAGAATAGCACGAGTCCATTTTCTTCTCCAATCATTTTAGTAAAGAAGAAAGATGGATCTTGGAGAGCTTGTAATGATTACAGAGCTTTAAATGCCATAACTATCAATGATAGTTTTCCTATTCCGACTGTTGATGAACTCATTGATGAATTATATGGAGCTTGTTATTTCTCTAAACTCGGATCTCGGATCCGGCTATCATCGATTCTCCTTAATCCAGATAGATAGATACAAGACAGACCTTTAGAACTCATCAAGGACTCGTATGAATGGCTCGTCATGCCATTTGGTTTATCCAATGCTCCGGCCACTTTTCAAAGTTTAATGAATCAGATTTTTAATGGACTATTAAGGAGATATGTGCTAGTTTTTTTGACGACATTCTTGTGTACAAGTAGCACTTGGAAGGACCATTTAAATCACTTGGAAGTAGTTCTGAACATCCTGAAAAAGAATCAACTTTATGCTAAATTCTCCAAATGCTCATTTGGAGTACAGGAGATTGGATATTTAGGTCACACGTTATCCGGAGCTGGAGTTGCTATGGACAAAGACAAATTAGAAGCCGTGCGTAATTGGGTCAAACCGGTGAATTTGAAACAATTGAGAGGTTTTTTAGGTTTGACCGGATATTACCGAAGGTTTGTTAAAGGATATGCTCATATTGCTTGCACCATTAACTGATTTATTGAAGAAGGATTCCTTTATATGGAGTGCAATAGCAGATGCGGCATTTGATGCATTAAAGAGAGCTCTCACCACTGCTCCGGTTTTGGCCATTCCTAATTTTGAGGAACCCTTCATGTTGGAGACTGATGCTTCTGGGTCGGGAATAGGAGCTGTACTAAGTCAAAACAAGCACCACATTGCTTATTTCTCTAAGAAATTATCACCTCGGATGCAGAAACAATCTACATATACCAGAGAATTCTATGCAATCACGGAGTCATTAGCCAAATTCCGACATTACCTCTTGGGCCACAAATTTATCATAAAAACAGATCAGAAAAGTCTAAAGGAGTTATTGGATCAAACTCTTCAAACACCTGAACAACAACAATGGCTGCCTAAATTCTTAGGGTATGATTTTACTATTCAGTACACCCCAGGAAACCTGCTGATGCTCTTTCCAGGAGTTTTGCATTGGCTTGGTCTGAGCCTGAACATCATTGGTTGCAAGCAGTAACAAATGCCATACAAAAGGATGAGAAATTGAAGTCAATCTATGAAGGTTGTTTAAGCAAGGCTGGCAAGCATGGTGAATATGAGTTACATAGGAATGTCCTCACTTGGAAAGGTAGAATTGTCATTCCTAAAGACATTGAGTTGATTAGAAACATTATTCAAGAATTTCATGATTCTAAGGTAGGAGGTCATTCTGGTACAACCAGAACACTTGCCAGAATTTCGGCGCAGTTTTATTGGCCAAGAATGAGAGAAGATATACGACAATACGTTCAGGAATGTGTTATATGTCAACAAGCCAAAGTATCCCAATCTCTACCAGCAGGGTTGCTACAACCACTACCCATTCCGAATCACATTTGGGAGGAGATTGCAATGGATTTCATAACCAATCTTCCACAATCACATGGGTATGTTAATATTATGGTAGTGGTTGATAGATTATCAAAGTTTGCCCACTTCATTCCATTAAAGCAAGGATTTACTAGTCAGATAGTAGCTGATGCTTTTATTCAAAACATAGTAAAGTTGCATGGGTTTCCAAAATCAATCGTCTCCGACGGAGATAGAGTTTTCATCGAGCACTTTTTGGAAGCTTCGTTCAAATCACAAGGAACTAACTTAGCCATGAGTTCCGCTTATCATCCCCAATCGGATGGTCAAACAGAGAATCTTAATAAAACTCGGAAATGTATCTCCGGTGTTTCGTTTTTGATCATCCAAAAGGTTGGATGCCATTACTTCCTTGGGCACAATTTTGGTACAACTCTTCCTTCCATCACAAAGCATAGGCATGTCCCCTTATCGAGTCGTTTTCGGAAAACATCCTCCTACTATCATCGTGTATGAGTTCAATGAAAAGGATCCACAATTGTTGCAAGAAAGCTTGCTCGAGCGTGATACAGTCATCACTAAGTTAAAAAGTACATTGCATCATTCCCAAAATTATATGAAAGTTCAAGCGGACAAAAAGCGTCGGGAGGTCCACTTGGCGTAGGGGATCTAGCTTTGGTGAAGTTACGACCCTATAGACAACATTCCGTGGTTTTAAGAAAGAATCAAAAGTTAAGTCTCGGGTATTTTGGCCCATTCAAGATCCTTGAAAAGATTGGCTCCGTGGCTTATCGATTATCGTTACCCGATACGGCCAAGATTCATCCAGTATTTCACATATCGTTGCTCAAGAAATTTCATGGGGTAGAGAAGCAACAGTATTTTCCTTTACCTCTCACGACAAAGGAGTTTGGTCCAATTATGTTACCGGTTAAGGTCTTGGCTTCTCGGTTAATACGAGCGCAATGGGAAGGATATATCTCGGGTTCGGGTTCAATGGGATTCCTTGGTTCAAGGCGATAATTCTTGGGAAGATGTTGCAGAAATGAAGAAGTTTTATCCTGAATTCAACCTTGAGGACAAGGTTGTGTTTAAAGGAGGGAGTAATGTAACAAGCAAGAATGAGGGTGCAGAAAAGGCGGGTAGGGTTGTTGGGCATGGTGGCCACGTGGCAAGCAAGGAGAGGA